ATATTTCGCTTTGTGACCAGAAAATTTATTGTTACGACATTGTGTGCTTAATTCTTCAGAAGTATATTACCAATTTTTCATGCCACCGGGACCATCAAAACAATATGAAGCATTTAAGTCACGCAAAACCACTGATATCATATCGTAAGGCGTATAAAGCTCTGCAGTTATTGTTGGCAAGAAATTTATAAGTTCCCACCGTCAAGCCGGGGTCGTTAGGGGGTGATTTATCACTAAAATAAGCCGCAGAAGGTATGTTTACCGATCTAATCTGATTCAGTGATTCAATTGTGACTATGAACGGACCATGAATTTGTTGACACCATCCCTTTTCTTAAATAGTTTGCGTGTTTCGTCACACTGATTTCCTTGTTTTTCATTTTTCGCCACATAACGTCAAATAGTAAGGATTCTATCATTAATCTTGCTCCGAATTTTTTCTGACACATTCGAGAGTTGTAGACAGACTTCATCGAACATTTGGTTGTATGTGCCAATCTTTGATTTTTTTGGTGAATTTTCAGAGCGGTATTTTCCATTAATTAGTTGATTGAAATTTATTCTTCAAGCAAATAAAATGTAGTACTAGGAATATACCAACCTCCATTCCAAGAAGGCGACAGATGAAAAAAGCTGATTGGGAAAAATGTTCAAACATTTCAAGTTAGACACACAGTTAATAAATCAGTTGAAACAATAACAAGTTCAATCATCTATGCAGCTCACCATAGCATTCCAATATCAAGTAGTATGCTTAGAAAGCCAAGAGTACCGTGTTGGAATAACGAATATTGTGAATTTAGGAAAATTCAAACGTCTTAGAGCAACAGCTCGTTAAATTATATTAACATCCGAAATGAAATGGAAAAACTATATCTGTACATCAAGTGGTGAAACACCTCTGACAGAGATATGGCAAAAAATCAGAAATATAGCGGGTAAAAAAGTGTCAACTCAATCACCTGTATTTATTATCAACGTTGATGAAATTCGAGATGAAGTTATTATTGCCAATGAGTTATCTCACCACTTTGAAGAAACGAGTAGTTCAGAGAATTACCTTTTGGAATTTCAAGATAAAAAAAAAACGAATCAGAAGAAGAGTTTCATTTTTTGGAAGATACAGAGAGTGCCAATAATGAAGATTTCACACTACATGAACTACAAAAAACCTTGGAAGAAACGAATAATTCATCACCTGGACTTGACCAAATTCATTATGTAATGATGAAAAACCTACCCTTACAAGAGAAACAACAAATTTTACATCTTTTCAATGGAGTGTGGTCAGAAGGTCCTTTGCCAGAATCCTGGCAAACATATCTAATAATCCCTATTCCTCAATCCGGAAAAGACTTCGCAGACCCATCTAGTTACCGACCAATTTCGCTAACAAGCTGCCTGAGCAACTTTTCCTTTCGGATACGGCAATGATAAAAGAGTTTTCTGCACCGTCATCACCTAACAGCAGTTTCTTTCGATAAAGAGAAAGCTTATGACACCACTTGGAGATATAACATGCTGAAAACACTACATAAATGGGATTGAAAAACACTATTACAATTATTACCTATTACCTCAAAAAGTGTAACTATACTGAAAAACTCACAAAAAATACCTGACCACCAGATGTAAAAGAGCTCTTATCATCATTAGATGTATCTCTAATATAAATTGGGGTGCCAATCGAAAAGTCATTCTTGCAAAGTATGAATCTCTGATACTGCCAAATTAAAATACGGAAACATTGTATATGGGTCGGCTTGTAGAAATCGCTTGTACTGACTTGAAAAGATCCATAAAGAAGAACTTCGACTAGGAATGGGAGCGTTCCGTACTAGCTCAGATAAAGCAATCTTCTTTGAGTCTGGCATCAGTTCATTAACCCATAAAAGAAGAAAACTTTTATTGAATTATGGGGTTGAAATATGGTCCCAATCAAGTCATCTCAAACACCCGATCATTTACAATGAAGCACAAGTTGTAAAAGGAATACAGGATGATTTATATACTTTGGATATTGAGTAACCATCAACTTTTCCTTCATCCTTCGGAGAAATACATCTTGAACTCTAACTAGACCAAGATGCCATTTTGAATCTGATAGATTAAAAAAAATACTCATCGAATTCAATACCTTTCAAGATTCTATGAGGTCATAAACAAATATGTGAAAGTTATAGTAATATATACTGGACGGGTAAAAACTACAGAAGGGGTCGAATAAGCATTAATTTGCAATGGAGAAACTCGCCAGTGGACGTTAAACACAATTTCATCGAAATTCACATCTGAATTATAGGTCATTCTCCAAGCATTGGTATTTATCGAGATATTGGGAGGAGAAACTTTAACAATTCCTGAAGAAAAACAGGTCTAATGAAAAAAGTGTATCTCGAAATTACAAGGCTAATGACAACTGCAGTCGATGCTTCAACTTAGAAAATATAAGAAAAATATAGATGCGTTACTCGCTTTCAGTTCATTTTGAATTATATTTTTGTCAGTCTTCATGAAATTTGCTATTCAAGCAAGTGATTTAGTGCATTCTATGCACTATGCTATAAAATTTCTGTAAATATTATTCTACGAAGAGAGTAAATTTCAACTTCACTGACCCTTGAGCCAAGCCAAATATACGCGGCCTCAATGCACAGATAAATGCACACTCCAATTACAAAATATAAAAATATAATTAAACTACTGATGATTTGATAATATGTTGTAGGGTGATTTTACTTTCTTTGCAGGAGGCTGCTGAATTATCACTGCCAGACATATTCACACAGGTTATGTGTACTGAAGTCAATACAACTGTATACACTTGCGCTCCCAAACATGATAACTATCTGAGTGAATAGTTCAATGAAAGAGCTTCATGAAGCACGAGCCGAATCGATCCCTATATGAAACCCTTCATTACTTGGAAGATTTTATTGCAGCTTGAGAAATGATTCTGATACAGATTCTATGAAACATGTTCTTCCTTACGAATCAGTAGACAGTTGTTCTGAAAATTTTGAGAATGTGAAAAGAAAATTAGATTAGATAATTCAGGAAACAATTGATACATGAATCGCATTCAACAAGTGTTGTTCGTGACGAAGAATTTCAAGAACGAGGTTTTGATGATGAACGATAACAAAAATTTTTCCTACATATTCACCAAACTCAAACATCTGTTCATGCTTTCTCTTTAACCGATTTCCTGAAGTCAGTCCACTATATACTCTTTAGGACAAGAGNTTCCTGTTCAATTTGTTAAAACGCCGTTATCTCAAAATTCTATCAATTGAACGATATCTGTGACATTGGAAATAATAATATACCTATGAACAATATTAGTGCACATACAAACTAGAATGCGTTAGATTTATAGAATTTCTACTCCAGCCAAATATTTTTGGTAGAAGTGCATCACTACATACAGTGAGTTTTGAAAGCTTATCCGTGATAACCATCAACAATATTGACGCAACGAATTACTATTTGATATGAGCCTTCTAGGAAATCAATTTAGAAGTTGCTGATGTATCTATAAGTAATTGCAGTTTACCATTCAATTTTCATATAGACTGCAGGAAGAAGAACCATAATGACAATCAGAAATATAGAGGTTCTTTATAATTTCGGCAAAGTGAATCAATTCTTATCTGGTAATATGATTGGAAATTTCTACTTCAGAAACGTCATTATGTAATTTTCAATCTGGTTCTTCCTTCCAATACAGCAAGCAATGAAATGCTCGAACGAAAGCAACATTATGTTGCCTAAACTATTGAAATGCAACGTTATCTTTTAACTTATACTACCAAGGGCAAGTCGAGATTCTGGAATAACTTCACGAAGTGTTAGTGTAATTTCAAGATGAGTCAAATAATTTGGCAGTATTTGTTCATTGATTACAATATAAAATATAACACAAAAATTTTTATATGATACACTACAAGAAAAATTTCTTTTGTTGAACCCTTCTTCTGAATGGATCATCAGGTTTGACCTCAAAATGTGATGAACAGAATGAAAATTCACCTTGATGTCATATTATTGCTTCGATATCAACTTGATGATCAAATTTGTGTCTTCAAATAAAATGCTTGTAGTTTTTCCGTGCATTTTTTAAATTTCTATCTGTGTTCAGGCACTTATCACGTCGCTACACGAATAGTTTCGTTCATACAAGGTAATTTTGTTATTTTACGAAATCGATGGCAAAGTATTATACTGTTTAGTTTAGGCTATCAGTAATTCAACCATGTAACAAGTATTTTCAAATTCCTAATTGAAGGAAGTTTTCACAAAATCGATATCAGTACTCATGTTTAAAGAATACATTCATCTTGAATTGGAAGGGTTATATTTTTAGGAGTGACTAATTATTGGAAAAGAAAGTTTTTTGGCTTTTTACTACTCCATCTTGTTACAAAAATATGTGGAAATCTTCCAAAGCAAGGAAGGAAGTAATGCATTTTAAAATAAGTAACTCTATACATGGATGTGTCGATCAAGAAAAGAAGTAACTTTCAGGCACCACACTGGAAGGGATAGTCCTCCTGGAACATCTACTTTCTTATAATGTTTCCAGATTGGTACTGAAGAGCCCTAAGGCAAATGTCTTTCGGCGAAACATCGATGTCTACCAATGAGGATGACAGTGTTCTACGTGAGTGTAAATTTTTACCATTCATTTAGTGTAGAACTCCTGTGAATGATAACTGAATCTATTCTATAACAAATGTTTGCAATACAAACTGAGTAGAGAATAGTGTCTTCTCTATAATTCAGTGTTCATGTAAAAGTATTTGTTCCGAAAGATTTTTTCTTTCGTGTAATTCAATGTTTATATGAAAGTAGCTGTTTCATGAGGTTTGTGTCCAGTTTGTAGTTTATAATGCTTAGTTCCCAGAATACTTGGCCGTATATTTCCTAGTCACTTTTAATATTCTTCTTGTTGTGTACAACACTTAAATGCAAGACATCGATTCTCCATTAAAACTTACCGAGAATTTCTACGGTGTGAGTAATTTCTCTTGGTTCGAGCGTCCCGATCTGGCAGACGTAGTCCCCAGCATCCTGGGGCTCGGCCTCCCTAATCTCCAAACTGTACCCGCGCACCAAATTGACGCGAGGGTCGGGGGAGACTTTCACGTTACCCGCCGATAGGACTGCGATGCCTTTCTTCCAGACCAGCACGTACGGACCTGAAACATGGAATTCACTGAGAGATATTGCTAATGCCAATTTAACGCACTTTGACTCCGGGGATGAGAGAGGAGGAACGAACACGCGATAATGGATGAGGATAGTGATTTGAATATTGGTGGCGTTTAAAAATCTTGGGTGAAGTTGTGTGAAGAATGTTAATGCGAATTACGTTAGTGGCTGACATTAACAATCACTTTTTATCTGGAATAATTTCATAATAACCTTATATTGGTTATTTTGGTTAACCACTTTTCTTCTATGATCAGGTTATTCTACTTGCATTGCTGATGGAATATCTAGGTTTTATATTCTATCAAAAAACAAACAGAAAGTCACCTTCCTTTCACAACTTCCTGGACAGAGGAGCTTGATGGACAAAAAATAGAAGAGAGTATGTGACCAACTGGAAAAAACTGAGAATCATAACATCCTAGAAGTGACCTCGAATTGTCAACTACCATATACAGTTCTAATCTCCAGTTGAAAAAGATGTGAAGCGGAAAGGTGTGGATTCTTGAATGAATCGAAAACAACTTCAGCTTCTGATGCAGATGAAAACTTAAGATAGTTATATCGACTTGCCTTGACACTGCATTTCAAACGTAAATGTATGCTATTGATTGGTGAATGCAAAGATTCACAGAAAACAATCTCATATTCAGAAAAGTAATAGCGGCAGCCAAGCAGCACCGAGTGAAGTACAAGTTGATAGTGATCCATCAAAAAGAGTCTCCACGACAGTTGAACTCAAAATATCATCCCTGGTCTAGAATACATGTTGCTCTGGACAGGAAGATAATGAAACCACCAACTTCCTTGCAACGGAGGGCGCTGGAAGCGGTTTCATCGGACCAGAACCTCCCATTTACATCGCTTCAGACTACGTCAAAAACTGTAAAAAAGTTTTGGACTTCTGAAATAATTCACCAGGACTAGCCCGTTCCGAAATATTTATATATCATTCGAAGATTGTTACCAGACAATTGGCAGATAATAGCTGAAATGACCTACGTTGTCTGGCACACCTACTTACAGATAACTGTCGTTTTGATTATCTTATGAAGAAACTTGTTCTGTAGGATGATAGTGTATGTCGTCTCTATTTAGAAAAAAAAATTAAAGCAGAGCACATACTCTATGCCTCCCCAGTCGCATACCGGATCGGATTTTTAGTGTTTGGCAGATGATCACTCACCAAATGAGCTAATCAGTTCCAAACGAATTCAATTAGGTGTGAACTACAATGAACCCCTTGCGGATATAAGGTAGTATAGAACCTACCTACCTTTTCCTGGGTATTGGAAGTGCTTTCAATTTGCGAAAGAATAGGTTGCTCCTAAAAGAAGAATCAAAAATTAAGTTCATGGTTTAGCGTATTCCAGAATAAATCTACCTGAAGGATTGAAGAGAAAGCTGAATAATATACTCGTATAGTGACTGAAATTTTCATATATGTATCTTTGCTGAAATCTAACATTCTAGAAGTTTTAGGTGAAATTGGGTAGTCATGTTCATCTAATATGATATAGTGCATTTATACAGTACATTTACTTATTGTCCCCTCCCTTTTTATTTTTCGAACGGGTCAACTGAAAAAATTTATACAAAATCAAAATGGTTCACAAAATTAACCGAAGATGACCCTGATCGAATAATAGAATTCTGCGAAATCATGACGGAACCATTGCAAGGCATCTTACTTATCTCCACAATATTTGTTTTAGTGACGAATGTACATTTTTCTAAACGGCAATATGCACAGACAAAATTGCCGTTGTTGGAGTGACACCAACCCTCACGTTTTCCGGGAAACACATACCCAATATCCAGCAAAAAATCACGATTGGGCAGGAATATTGGGAAACCATATTGTAGTACATATATTTATTGATTAAAATTCAACTTATTTGAATATGATAGAAACTACTGTTGACCCTCTCATCACTGAAATCGTTGAAACGAATCCTAATTTATTTAATATGGATATTGTTTTCCAACAATATGGAACACCAACACATCACTCCAGAGAATCAAGAAACTATTTGGATACTACTTTTCCCGGTCGTTGGATTGGCCGTCGAGTTCCTACAGAATGGCTAGCCTGATCTCCAGATCTGACACTTTTAGATTTTTTTTATGGGGCTATTTGAAGCAAAAGGTGTACGAAACTGAACCTGCTTCAATATTGAATGTACGACAGAGAATGATAAATATTTCGAGAGATAGGCTGTTCATATGTCAAGAAGTTTAAGGCAACCATTTCGAGCATCTTATGAACTGACCTCAAGATCATTACCTCATATTATGTAGTTAAATGTCAATGAATTTGGGCAATTATTGAAAGTTCCGCAATTTTGTAGTAGTTTGAAATATTGTCATTTGTCAGGAGCTTCAAAATGATGTGTCACAAGCCCCCCCTATTCATTTAATTTTTTTCCCAAATGGCGCCAAGTCGCCATCTTCAAAGTTTCATTTGTCATTTTCACTTCAAAATAAAGTATTCATGCATTAATTTTATCCTAAATTTTAATTTTTTTGAGTTGATCCGTTCAAAAACTGAAAGGGGAGGACATTAAAGAAATGCACTGTATGTATATACTCTATACTCACTCTGTACTAGTAAAGTGCGGGAAAATGATTTCCTGACATTTGTCTTAGTCTATCAAGGTCGATTTGTAGATATGTATTATCAGTTTGTTTTCAATATTCTTCATTTTGAAATTATTCACGTACAGTGAAATCGTAGTAGAAATGAAAAATTTTCGTCTTACAAAAACACTGAAGGGGATTAGATCCCATATGAGTCCTGGAGAACTCATGTGGTACTATTTTTCTAAACATCTCTTCTGTTTGACTTAGTGTGGATACTCAATTTCAACATAATCGATTAAAGAAACTTCGCATGATTGAAGATGGGATGTGTAAAATGAGTTGAAGATTGTAAACCACCGATCTGCCCTTTGTAAAGGTTGAAATTTGAAATATCGAATCAAAGATTTTCAAGTTCAAGCCCGACACGAAATGTATAAAATGAATAGAGCTTCCTATGTGCTTTTCGAAAAAACCCAAGGGAATGATAATACCATTTGATGAGTTTAGCATTGAAAATCTTTTAATAATTTACTCAAGATGAGGATGAATATGAATGATATCAAAATATAATGAATCTTTGGTTCCCCATTATTTATATTCGAATGAACCACCCGAATGCTGAATAATTCTTCTCACTTTATCAATTCGTCTCCATCAATAGTAGTAATCACCATTGAAAAAAGAAAGATTTGTATAGCTATCAATTTCTACAGTCGAATTTTTTAATGTTGAAACAAGCTGAATTTATGGAGTTCATTATTTAACTAACAAGCTGTAGCATATGGCTAGGGTGAGCGGAAGAAGTTGAACACGGGTCCAATTAGGGAGATGAGTTATATTTATAATCTGGATAAAAAAGAATTTCCAGGCAATGTACTTTGCTAGCCGACGAAATCGCTGTTGCAATATTCCATGTTACAACATTTTCCACTACGACTAAATAACCTTCCAAACATGACATAGAACGCCTTAATTGGTTTATGATGACTATGATCGTTTAATAATTTGATATTATCTCTTGTCATGCTTCTAGTCGTCTATCAACGTGATGGCGGAGCTAATTGCTTTATGAATTTTATTAGCTCGAACTTCCATTGTCTATAATATGATTTTACTATGATTCGAAATCTATGGAAGAAAAAGTAAAGTCAGGATGAATATCTGAAATACTAATCATATTGAAGAATAAAACGTGAAAGTCATCACCCGAAGACGATTGTAGATACTAACAATCGAAACGTGGTGAAGTAACTTGGTTTGAAATCTTCTCTAATTTATTTTTCTTCCTCTTCAGTTGTTTTTTTAGGATCTTGATTATTTCATTCGGTCGATTACATTTCCATTTCACGTTTCATTGTTTGATATAAATTATATCTCAGCTATTCGTTTTAATTTTATTTGTTCTTTCATAGATTTTGATTCATAGTAAAATTCTTTCTGATAGACGGAAGAAAATTACTTGGTATTTCAAAATAGCTCCTTATTGGAAAAATCAGTCGATACATGAATACTGAATGATCTGAGATCGTTCAATAGAATGAAATTGTGAAAAAATAACTGGATTGTGAAAAAATAACTCGTTCAATGAGAATTGTGAGAGAATATGAGAGTTTACGTTGAACTTGATTATTCAAAGGCGACTGAGAATATACTCACAGTCATATTGTGATAATAAATGAAAGGGGACAAATTGAAAAACATCAGTTGATCATGTCGATTGGTATTTTCAGTTTTCCACTACTGTTTACATTGAAAACTTTTCATACAGAATGCATCATACAACATACTTAGAAAATAATGAGTAATATTTATTTTTTATTTATGTTGAAATATCGCTCGCCGCAAACGTCATGAAAACACCCTAATTTCGAATATAAATATATTTCAACCTTACTGATCTAATCGAAGCTATTCGAATCAAGAGTTTCGATTTTGTAGAATATTTTTATTATATCCCCATACGAAGGAGTTCAATGACGTCAGTTCAGGGGATTTTGCTGAGGTATTGGTTGAGGTATTGCCTGACATTAATTCAATAACCGTTTGGCTATCAATAATCATATCATATTTGTTGGAACATGTTTACTGGATCATTGAATTAATATCCAAGATTGATTTGAACTTTTATGTACGAGTGAAATATGGTATTGGCCACTTTCACATGACCCATCATGTATACAACGTTTATTTTTAGAAAATCGTGCCACTCAAAACACGAATCGACGTATTCAAGCGGTTTATTGAACACACCACCACATCGTAGGAAAAGTTCCATTACAATGATATAATATAATGGTCATGATAATAAGCTGCTGAAGCTGCTAGATTCCATCCTGAAAATAGCCATCCGCCTGATTGAAGATGAGAATATTACTCGCTACCTTAATAGTCTGGAATATCGAAG